TGAACCTTTGTTTTCCCCAACATTTGTGGGAGGAAGTGGAAGTTTGTAGGTGTATATGTGAGTGCGTGTGCCTGTGGAGGCCGGAGTTGGACGCTGAGCATCACCATCCTTGGTTGATTTTTCTTGTTGCATTGAGTCGGGTCCTCTCAGTCAGACCCAGATCCATGCACAGCTAGTCTTGTTAGCAAGCTTGCTCTAGGGATCCCGCGTCTCTAAATCAGAGGCTGGAATCGCAGGCAATCCTGTAAGCCTAACCAGGGTTTGCATGGGTTCTCTGGTCCTAATGCTTCTGTGACAAGTGCTTGAGCTCTGTCCCCAGCATGCATCATGTTTTTAATCTGGGTCTCCAAGCGTCTGCTTTTTTACGTATCAGACTCTTTGTAGTTGGGTGTGGTGGCCAGTGCATGTAGTCTCAGTTCTTTAGAGACTGAGTGCTTCAGCCCAGTGGTAGACAGCCAGCTCAGGTACAGAAGAGACACCTCATTTCTAATATAATACATAAGCACATACATATTTGACTCTGCTTTTGTTTTTTGAGACAGGGTTTCTCCATGTGCCCTGGAACTCATTCTGTAGACCAAACTGGCCCCAAGCTCAGCGATCCAAGTGCCTCTGCCTCCCTGGGATTAAAGGTGTGCGCCAGCACTGGCCAGCTCAGTATCTGACCTTCGGTGTCAAGAATGTTAAGAGCTAGTGAGATGGCTCAGCAGGTTAAAGAACTTGCCAAAAGTCTTGACTGCCTAGGTTTGATCCCTGGGACCCATGTGGTAGAAGAGACCTGCAGGTTGCCCTGAGACACTTTATTTATTATATGCGTGGATACACATGCATATAATAAATAATCGTTCATTTATTGTATATTATGTAATATAGTATATATGTATATGTATATATATATATATGACAGTTGTTGAATCTTGTTTAAATGAAGCAATGTGAGGATAAATGTATGAAAATTAGTCCAGCTACTGAATTCTGAGTTTTCTTTCCGTGTCCAAGAATGTATGCTAGATTCCAGTCAGCACCCCATGCACACTTAAGAAGGAAATCAAGAAGAATTAGATTTTAAGATACTAACACTGATAAACTTTAGCTAGAAAGAGAATCTAGAACAATGGTTCTCAACCTGTAGGCCGTGACCCCATTGTAGTATCGGATAACCCTTTCATGAGGTTGCCTAAGACCATCAGAAAACACAGGCATTCACATTACCATTCATAACAGTAGTACTGTGGGGGGTCACCACAGCATGAGGAACTGTCTTGAAGGTCACAGCACTAGGAAGGTTGAGAACACTGCTCTAGAACATGCAGTTCTCACCATGCCCCCTCTTCTCTCCCCATAATTGTTTTAGGTTAACATACAAAGTGAAGGTTTTTTGCTCATGGAATCTTCATACACGTATGTACTTACGGTGTGTTCTCATTCATCCTGCTCAGTGGGAGGACCTGTTGTTTTCTAAGGAAAGTTTATGACTTGCATTTGAAGTTTCAGTCTCCCCATTTTCATCACTGTTAGCCTTTTGGTTACGATTAAGTTTAAACACAGCTCATGTTCTTCTTTGCTATTTTGGTAACTGATAAATGCAGGTTTAGCTTCATTGCAATATCATGCCTGCATAATTACCCACAAAACTGATAGAGTTTAAATATTTTTATTATATTTATTTATTAGGTGCTCTGGTGGGCATCAGAGAACAATTTGCATGAATCAGTTCTCTGATTTTACCAGAGTTTAACTTTTTTTTTTTTTTTTTTTTTTTGAGACAGGTCCTCATTATTTATCTCTGTCTGGCCTAGAATTCGCCATGTAAATCACATTGACATCAAACTCACGGAGATCTGCCTGCCTCTCCCTCCCAAGAGCTGGAATCAAAGGCATGAACCACCATCACACCTGGGAAGAATTTAACTTTGCATCTTTCATGGATAAAGCAACCGGAAATCCCTATGGCTGATGAATTTCTGTTTCGCTGAATTAAGATCAGACAGGGGAGTCATGTCGGAAGAAACAGTCAGAGAATCGCAGTTCTCCCTGAAGACGGCCGCCCTCAGAGTGTTGGATGTCCCTGTGTCCTGGTACTGTTCTCTCTCCCAGGTAAACAGAAGTGAACCGAATTTGAATAGTGTGTTTATGTTGTTCAGTGTAATTTGTTTGTGATTTTTCTTTTCCTTGAGGTTGTTTTGTTTGTTGATACTAGGGATTTGAACCCAGAGCTTGGAAGCAGGCGGACTGACTGCCCTGAGGATTTCACACAGCGTAGTCAAAATGCTAAAGTTTGGCTGGAGAGATGGCTCAGAGGTTAAGAGCACTGGCTTCTCTTCCAAAGGTCCTGAGTTCAATTCCCAGCAACCACATGGTGCCTCACAGCCATCTGTAATGAGATCTGGTGCCCTCTTCTGGCCTACAGTCATATATGCTGGATACATAATAAGTAAATAGATCTAAAAAAAACAAAAACAAAAAAACCCAAAATGCTAAAGTAGTTTAATATCTACTTTTAAAAATTATTTTGTGTATATGTATATGTGCATATACGTATTTTCATAATATATTTATATGTAAATATTTTATATTATATACATATAAATATATTTCATTAAAAATATGTATATGTATACACTGTATTACTTTAAAAAGTTTTCCTTTCTTATCCAGGTGTGGTGACATATACTTTAATCCCATTCATTTATTTATTCATTATTTTTTAATGACTCGTGTATTGTAATAGCTTAATATTGTAAAGATTTATCCACATTGTAGCACATGTTAGAATTTCCTTTTAATATGGAATAAATATTCCACTGTATGCATATACACATTTTTGCTTGTATTTCCATCTGTCTGTGAACTACTTGGGTTGTTTCCATGTTTTAGCTATCTTGAATAAAGCGTCTATGATCATGGATGTGTAAATAATCTCTGGAAGACTGCTTTAGCCAGTCACGGTGTCACACACCTGTGATCTCAGCACTCCAGAGGCAAAGGCAGGAAGACCAGGAATTTAAGGACAGCCTGAACTATAAAGAGACTCCTGTTTAAAATAATAATAATAATAATAATAATAATAATAATAATAATAATAATAATAAGTGGAAACAAAAATGGGCCTGGGGAGATGTCTCAGCGCAAGTATGAGAGCCCCTGGGCACACACAGGCACCCGGACACAAAGAAAGGAAGACAAGAAAGATCCCGTTTCAGTTCTCTTCAGAATTATTTTTCAGAGGTAGAATTTCTAAACCACATGTTTGTTTGTTTTGTGGGGAGCTGCTGTGCTGGTTCCCACAGCAGGGGCGCTGTTTGACATCCCACAGCCTTGCTAACCTTATGGTCTTGTCTGACCATGGCGGCCGTCCTTCAGGTGTGCACTTTCCAGATCGTTCTCTCCTTCTGTGGGTTGTAGTCTGTTGTCAATATCTTTTATTCTAATTCAAAAATATTTTTATTTTGGGGCTGGAGAGATGGGTTAGAGGTTAAGAGCACTGGCTGCTCTTCCAGAGGACCTGAGTTCAATTCCCCGCACCCACATGGCGGCTCACAGCTGTCTGTAACTCCGTTCTAGAGGATCTGGCTCCCTCACAAGGACATACCTGCAGGCAAAGCACCAATGCATGTAAAATAATAAATAAATTATTTTAAAACCCTTTTTATTTTATGTTTACAGGTGTTTTGCCTGTGTGTATGCTGGGCATTGTGTATATGCCTTGGTCCATGGAGACCAGGAGAGGGCATTGGTGCTAAGTTGTGTGATTGTTTAGATTGTAGGGTTTTAAAAATATTTTCTAATTAATTTATGAATAAAATCACTTATTCCTGTGGTATTTATAAATAAGTTAACTTCTGTTTGCTTAAAATTCTGGATATGTTTTAAAAATTGAGCTCACTTTTAAAGTCTGATTTAATCATTTCTATAGTTAAAAATCTTGCTGATTGTTTATGTAGAAGTTTCAGGCGGTGGTGGCGCTCACCTTTGATCCCAGCACTCAGGAGGCAGAGGCAGGCAGATCTCTGAATTTGAGGCTAACCTGGTCTACAGAGTTCCAGGACAGCCAGGGCTACACAGAAAACCCAAACACCCCACCTCTCCCCTCCTCTCTAAGAAAAAAGATTCAGTTTCACGGGTTAATCATCATTTGGTCAAGAAATGTTCACAGGGTTGAATTACTGTATGTATCTATTGACTTTGAAATAATAATGTGTATTTCAAACTTAGATAACTTCAGAGCAGTGAGTGATAGCCTGTTAAATTAAAACAGACTGGCTGGGGCTGAAAGAGGGATACATAGGCTCTTTATAATGTTTACAGATAAGTAAGATCTACTTTTATTTTTTTTGCGGGGGGGGGGGCACACGCGTGTGTGTGTGTGTGTGTGTGTGTGTGTGTGTGTGTGTGTGTGTGTGTTGGGGGATTCGAGACAGGGTTTCTCTGTGTAGCCCTGGCTGTCCTGGAATTGGCTCTGTAGACCAGGCTGGCCTCAGACTCAGAGATCTGCCTGCCTCTGCCCCCTGAGTGCTGGAATCAAAGGCTAATTATTGTTTTGAACAAAATCTGAATTGTGGAGGTATTGTGTTCCCAAAATATTGTGCACCCTAATAAACTTATCTGGGGTCAAAGAACAGAACAGCCACTAGATACAAAGACTAGAAAATGGTGGCACTCACGCCTTTAATCCTAGCCTTCTGGAGGCATGGATCTCTGTGAGTTCAAGGCCACATTGGAGTTGGCCAGGCATGGTGACACACACCTTTAATCCCAAGAAGTGAGCTTTTAATCCCAGGGAGTAATGGCAAAAACAGAAAGATATATAAGGCGTGAAGACCAGAAACTAGAAGCATTTAGCTGGTTAAACTTTCAGGCTTTTGAGCAGCAGTTCAGCTGAGATTTATTCTGGATGAGGACTCAGAGGCTTCCAGTCTGAGGAAACAGGACCAGCTGAGGAACTGGTGAGGTGAGGTGGCTGTGGCTTGTTCTGCTTCTCTGATTTTTCCAGCGTTCACCCCAATACCTGGCTCCAGGTTAGATTTTATTAATAAGACCTTCTAAGATTCATGCTACACTGAATCGTTTGATTTTTACCAGTAAAGACTCCGGAGCCAGATGCTGGGGTGAAAGCCTGCTGATCCGAGAGGCAGAGGAAGCACCCAGCCGACCTTCCTCCTCAGCGGAGGTCCCAGAAGCCTTCTTCCTCCTAGGCCATCTCGAAACACCCTCCTCAAAGTGCCCGTCCCTCCCTTCTGTTTCCTGTGCATCTCTCTGTCTGCCCTCCTGACGCCTTCTGACTCTCTAAGATTTTTTTCTTTTCTTTTTTCTTTTTCTTTTTCCCTGTGCAGCTTTGGTGCTTGTCCTGGACCTCAGTCTGTAGACCAGGCTGGCCTGGAACTCACAGAAATCTGCCTGCCTCTGCCTTCCAAGTGCTGGGATTAAAGGTGTGCGCCACCACCGCCTGGCAATTTTTTCTTAATAACCCTATGTTCACTTCTTGTCCACTGGTTGCTTGCGCCACCTCTTGACCTATGGTTGACTTTATTTAATCCTGTTTACAGTATTTAAGCGGAAAGCTCTTGGATTAAAGGTATAATCTAGGGCTGAGCCAGAACTAGAAACAGGTTTTTCCAGTAAATAACGCAATCTCAGGGTTCATGGGGTAATCAAATATCCTGCAACAGCTAATTTTAGTTCTTATGCTTTTACTTTTAGTGAAAAGATAAGAGTTTTTTTTTTTTTCCAATCTTTTCCAGATCAAATTTTCACCAGTAGCTAAAAGATTGTTTGTGGTAACTGCTGTGAGTGCTATATCTGTAATTTTTTTTGCCCATCACTTTAAAAGAAGACGTGGAAAAAAGAAAGAAAAAATACTACCGTGGGAACCAGAGCACCTCCTACTTGAACACACTAAAAGAGCAGCATCGGACAAAGGTCTGTGGAAATTTCCAGATTAAATCTGTGAACCATGAGATACTATGTATCACAGCTGGAGCACCGGTCTGTAGGGTTAGAAAGTATGCAGGAGAAAAGACAGATACATTAAAGCCACTTAGTGGCTTTAATCCCAGCACTCCGAAGGCAGAGGCAGGCAGATTTCTGCGAGTTCAAGGCCAGCCTGGTCTACAAGAGCGAGTTCCAGAACAGCGAGAGCTGTCGTTACACAGAGAAACCCTGTCTTGAAAAACAAAACAAAACAAAAAGTATGTGTCAGTAAATTATATAGTAAAATACAGTTTCAGAGGCTGGAGAGATGGCTCAGCAGTTACAACTGAGAACCGTTCTTCCAGAGGAACTGACTTCCCTTCTCAGCATCCACATCTGGCAGCTTCAAAGGATCTGACACAACTGGCCTCTGAGTACCTCACTCATGTGAACATACCCACACACTGATACATATACACGTATTTTAAAAATATAAAAATTAAAAAAAAAAAACCATAGAACCATGAGACTACATTCACAACCTGCTTTTGATGTATTTGATAATGTATGAGAATATCATTCTAAGTCAATAGTGCATGCTGTCATTTGTAAAACATAGTAATTATTACATTTGTACAAATATACTATAATTGAATTCTGTCTCTGTTATCTTTATGGTGTTTGTGATTTTTTATGAGATTTTTTAACAGTCTTATGTAGCCCCAGCTGGCCTTGACTTCACTATGTTGTAGTTAAACTTTTCTGTCCTGCCAGCCACTCCCCAAATAACCACACAGAGACTTAATGGTAATTATAAATGCTTAGCCAATAGCTTAGACTTGTTTTTAGCTAGCTTTTATAACTTAAATTAACCCATTTCTGTTTGTCTATGTGCTGCCCTGAGGCTTGTTTAACTCATCTATGTACATCCCATCCTGCTCCCTCTCTGTGTCTCACGGCATCTCCTCTGACTCCTCAGACTCTGCCCTTCTTCCCAGGGTTCTCTCAGCCCTGAAAATCCTGCCTAGCTGTTGGCCAGTCAACTCTTTATTAACCAATTAGAGTAATACATATTCATGGTGAACAAAAGAATTATTCCACAACACTGTGTTCTGAGGCTGGCTTTGAACTTTTGATCCTCTCACACACAACAACAACAACAATAATAATAATAATAATTTTTTGACCAGGCTAGATGTCTTAGTATTTTACTGTGTCATGTATTTTATGGTTTTGTGATTTATTCATCAGCATACATAGTGAACCACTGTTTGTTTTTTATTGAGATTTTATTAGATCTCAGACAAGCATTATATTCAGCATTTTATATATTTTTTATAGTAGCTCTATGAATGACTACAGTGCCATGTTCTTCTCATTTATGTATTTAAAACACTAGCATATGAAGATGTTACCAAGGTCATATAACATATATGTACTGGAATTTGAAACAGAGTCTGCCCTGTCTTGCTGAGAGAAGCTAGGCCTGGTGTGTACTCTGCAGATGAGTGTGCAAGTGGTGGAGGGCTCAGAAGTGCACAGAAGCAAACACATTTAAGGGGAAGTTGTAATTTAGGGAACAAAGTGCTTACATTTTAAACTGACAGCTTGTGAGGTAGCTGCTGATATTTTTACACTGATTATAGTAAGTCATTCAAAACTGGCCTGAATCGTTTGCTGAATATTTTACCTGGTTATAAAATCTGGTATTTGTATAACATACAAACATTAGGAATGTATATTTTAATAACGTTGCACATTTAATGATTTATGTGCCTGAATAAAATGAGTTCTAAAAAAAAGAAAACTCAGGTGCTTTCTGAACGACTATAACCTGAATTTTTTCCCTGGAAGTTACTGTTGGAATTGCTGATGCTTTTGGTTTTGGTGTGTTTGTTTGCCAGGTTCCAGCTGTTCCAGTAGTAGACAGAACTTGACCTTGTCACTAAGTTCCACCAAGGACAAAGGATCTCAGTCTTGTAACTACGCTAATGGAGGACTTTTCAGCAAATACTCGGGTTCTGCCCAGAGCTTAGCCTCTGTAAGGAAAACATACTTTATTATTATTCTTACATTTGCTTACGTATCTCTTATTAGCTTAAGTATCACATATCTGCTGCTCTTAGGGGACAGTCTGGTTGAGTCTGTTTCCTTTGCTGCTGGTGTCCAGTTTCATTGAGTAAGTGATACGGTCCATTTGGTCCTTTGAGAACAGCTTTGATGTGGTAGTGTTGATTCAAAAGTAGGTGCAGGCATCCTTTTTCCTGGACTGGATGTGATGGCTCATGCCTGTAATTCCAGTATGTGGGTGAGAGGGTCTCCTTGCTTTGTCGAGCTCTCCCTGTACTTTTGGGCTCAAGTCATTCTGTTACCTTAGCCTCCTGAGTAGCTAGACTGTGGAGTCAGAGAGTCACCTGTGCCCAGTGAAAAGTCGCTAAAATTTGGAGACCTGTGGCAGAGTAGGAACACCTTATGGGGGTTTGCAGACTTGCAGTTCTGTGAGCTGACAGCATGGCGCAGATAAGACTCCTGTATCTTCGACACCCTTAGCCTCGGCACCTCCCTTAGCAGGAGTAGCTGCAGGGGACTACTTCAGTCCCCTTTGCTCTTGCTCAGCCAGCTTACCATTCCACTACAGGCTGTGAGGCGGGTTCTGCCTTTTAGACAGCAGGTAGTACTTAAATCGGGGTTGTGACTCAGACAGTCGGGATCTAGGTCCACAAAACTTGACGAATGAGGTCAAGGGAGCAGGAGAGATAGCTCGATAGCCAGGAGTATGTCCTGCTCTTGCAGAGGACCTGAGTTTGGATCTCAGCACCTATGTTGAGCAACTCATAACCACTTGTAACTCCAGCTCTAGGGGATCTAACACAATCTCCTGACTCCCTTGGGCAACTGCACCTACGTGCAAATAACTCCACACAGGCACACATGCATACACATAATTAAAAATAAAAATCAATTAAAAAAATGAAATCTAAAGATGTGTTAAGAGTTGTTTTAAAAATGACTTCCTTTTTTAAAATTTGAGAAATCATGGGAATGGAGGTATTGATGAACTTGGAGGAGGAATTTTTACTGTGGGAAGAAGGCTAGACTCATCATATTAAGTTTATGATGCCAGCAGAAAAGCAAGTGGAGTCACCAAAGGCACGTTGAGATCTGCATTTGGATTTCTCTCCAGAGAACAGCGCTGGAGTTAGAGCCTGGGGTCATCTGCAGGCAGTGACTGGCATGGTTGGCACAGCAGGTTTTATTAGAGAAGGGGCATGAACTGCACCTCTACATTATCATTTAACATTGTCTGAATCCCCAAAGACAGAGCCTAGGCTGGTGTAGTTAGCATTTATAAGTGCTGACACAGTAAAGGTTTGTCAAGTAGTCACCTGATTTTTTGTGAAAATACTGATTTATTTTCAAAATATTGTTCTACTTATATATTTTTTAACAACAGGGCCAGAGTAGTTAAGAGTCCCGTGAGTACTAAATTTGAATATAATCAGAATTATTTCTTCAGGTAGAACTTACCTGAACTATAATTATAGAACATATGTAAGTAATTGGTAAATATAAACTACCATAGCAGGTTTGAATCAGGATAGTGTTTTCCTGGCATGGAAACCCTGGGCTCTACCCTAGCACTGTATAAAAACCAGGTATAGCGGCATACACCTGCAATCCCAGCACTTGGGAGGTAGAGGCAAAAGGATGAAACATTCAGGTCATTGCTGGCTATATAGGAGACCGCGCGCACGTGTGTGTGTGTGTGTGTGTGTGTGTGTGTGTGTGTGTGTGTGTGTGTGTACACACTCATGCATGCGCGATGATCCACACGCGATGATCCACTTTCGTTGGTCTTCATTTCAGGTTCAGAGTGTCAATTCCTGTCATAGCTGTGCTTGTGGAAATTCTAATTCCTGGGACAAAGCAGATGAGGATGACATCAAACTTGTTAACATTCCTGTGACCACTCCCGAGAATTTGTACCTGATGGGTGGGTATAGAAGTTCTGAGTTCTAAGATACTGTCACCAGGTTTCATTAGAAGGTAAAAGGAAAGTTAGTTGGGGCTGGGCAGGTACTCAGTGGCAGAGAGCTAGGCTGGCATGTTAGTGTCCTGGGTTTGATCCCTATGGGGGAAAAAGAAAAAAAGAAAAACCAAAACCAGTGATTTCTCCTAAGAGAATCGACTGTAATTTTAAAATGGCCTATGTCTGTTGAATCTATGCTATATAACATCATCAGCTGTACTAGTTTCTTGAGATATAATAAGTTATATTATATATTGTGATATAATAAATTACCTTAAATACAGAAACTTTAAAAAACAAACAAACAAACCAAAAAACCCAGCAATCAGTTCACTCAGAGTTCTGGAGCCAGAAGTCCAAAATCATTATTACTGATCTGAAATCAAGGTGTCAATCAGCCGCATGTCTTAGGAGACCTATGAGAGGATGCAGTACTGTCCTCTTCCATGTCTCGTGACTCCCAGCATGCCCTGGGCCTGTGACAACATCACTCCTCCATGACATCACTCTTTATATCACACTCTTATCCGTGCGTCCCATCTGCCCAAACCTCTCTGTTATACTTGTAATTTGATTTACCTGGAACTCACTCTGTAGACAAGGCTGGCCTTGAACTCAGATCCACCTGCCTCTGCCTCCAGAGTGCTGAGCTTAAAGGTGTGTCCCACTACATCCCTCTAGTTCATTACATATTGATTCAGTCTCACAAAGGATCATGGCCAGAGAGCAACTGGATTCTTTGTCAGAATGTAAACTCAATAGCCCTTTGCACAGTTCCCAAGAGAGTCCTTATTCCTTTCTGAAACCTCACAAGCCTGCTTCCATTGGCTCTTTCTGCATTCTGGTCTTCCACACTTCCTCCAGAATGGCCCATTAAGCTCTGCTTACAGCATTTTAGGGCATCTTTAGCCTGTGGCATAAACACACTCCTGCAAGCCTACAAACCGCATGATCATACTTATCCCAGCAATAATAGTCCCTGTCTGTGACTTTCCTTCCAGTTTCTGTTTTGTCATTTTACATGTTAGGAAACATGGTTTTGCTCATTTACAGTCACTCTGCTCTTAACCTTTAGGCATGGAATTGTTTGAAGAGGCATTGCGTCGATGGGAACAAGCTCTGACCTTCCGCAGTAGACAGGCTGAAGAGGAAGCCTGCAGCTCCGTTAAGCTGGGAGCCGGAGATGCCATTGCTGAAGAAAGCGTAGATGTAAGGACGGCCTGCTTTGGATTATTGGGAGAGCCTCTTTCTGGGCAGTTAATACAAGTTGTTTGCTTTTCCAGCTTGGGACTACGTGAGAGATTTGTGGGCTTTTGTTTTGTTTTGACTTGAGATAGGGTCTCACTATGTAGCCCCTGCTGACTTAAGACTCTTAGTAGACGAGGCTGGTCTGAAACACTCAGAGCTTGTCTGCCTCTGCTTCCCCAGGGCTGGGATCATGCCCAGCATGAAGGGCTTCTGGCCGGGCATTTTCTATCTGAGCTTTTAAGCACTTTTGGTTTTGAAAAAAATTGTTTTATTATTTTATACAGATAAGTGTTTTTCCTGCATGTATGTACATGTACCATGAGTGTGCCAGCTGCATGCAAAAGAGAGTTGGGTCTTCTGGGACTAGAATTGCAAACCGGTGTGAGCTGCCATGAAGGTGCTGAGAATCAAACCCAGGTCCTCTGCAAAAGCACCAAGTACTCCGAACTGTTGACCAACACTCCAGTGCCAAACCTTCAAGTGTGCAGACTTCCCTAGGATGTGTAGACGTAGCAGATGCAATTAATTTCCATTGGTTTTGTAATACAGAAGGTAGAACTGGGTCTTTATTGATCATTTCAAAGTTAGAGTGGATTGTGGAATCAGGAGCCAGGACAAGGGGCACTAAATCTAATTTAGCAAATCTTCTAGGCAATTTTTATATAAGCTCAAGTCTGAAAACTCTTAGTCTATCTACTTAAAGAATCATTCAGTCCTGCCTCTGTATTACAAAAACAATAGGTATGGCTGGAATTTTATCATTAGGTTTGGTCACCGGCACCCATGAACTTAGCACCAGCTCTGTCTACACGGCAAGTTTCTCTGTGGAAGTCACATTCTGTGTTTAGAGTGTTAACATGAGTGTGATAGTTGCTGTGTGTGACTGTTCTTCTCTCTTCGTAGGATATAATTAGTGCAGAATTCATCCATAAGCTTGAAGCCCTGCTGCAAAGGGCCTATCGCCTCCAGGAGGAGTTTGAAGCTACCCTTGGGGGATCTGACCCTAACTCTCTTGCAAACGATACAGGTAAGGTAGAGAGAGGTTTCTATGGTTTTCTGAAACCTGTGGGTTTTTTCTTTTATATATTGAAGTCATTTGCTTAAGTGTCTTATGTGTTAAGTTAGAAATGTTTTATGAAATGTCCCAGGAGAAAAAGTGTCTGCTGTAGCCAGGCTGGCTAGAGCTCATAAACCAGGCTGGACCGGCTGCCTGTCTCAGCCTCCCAAGCACTGAGAGGAAAGGCCTGAGAGATTTTGTGAATGACATTTGGAAGAAAGGAATGATTTAACAGTGTTCCTTTCTGTAAATTCCTCCTAAGATTGGAATAAGGGAAGGAGGGGCCTGGTGCTGCAGAGATGGTCCAGTGGTTAAGAGCATCTGTTGCTCTTGCAGAGAACTCAGGTTCCATTGCCTGCACCCACATGGCAGCTTACAACCTCCAGCATGAGGGATCCAGCACTGTCCTCTGATCTTTTTAAGCACCAGGCATGTACTTGGCGCCCAGACGTACTTTTAGGCAAATCACTCTTTTTTTTTTTTTTTTTTTTTGGATTTTCGAGACAGGGTTTCTCTGTGTAGCTTTGCGCCTTTCCTGGAGCTCACTTGGTAGCCCAGGCTGGCCTCGAACTCACAGAGATCCGCCTGCCTCTGCCTCCCGAGTGCTGGGATTAAAGGCGTGCGCCACCACCGCCCGGCTGGCAAATCACTCTTATGCAGGAAGTAAAAATAAAAAGTTTTTTTTTAAGAGATTGAAAAAAGGCAAAATTATGTTATGCATTTTGTTTGGTTTGGTTTTGTTGTTTTTGTTCTTGTTGATGTATTTTTGGGACATAGCACTGGCTGTCCTAGAACTCACTGTGTAGCTCAGGCTGTCCTGGAACTCACCGTGTAGCTCAGGCTGACCTGGAACTCTTTGTGTAGACCAGACTGTCCTGGAATTTACAGAGATCAGCCTGCCTCTGTTCCCAAGTGCTGGAAAAAAATTTTTAAAGTAATTTAGGTCATGATCTGATTGTATCTTATCTATAGTCCTAGCTACTTTGGTACGCTGAGGCAGGAGGATTGCTTGAGCCTATGACAGCCACCTTGCGTACTACTAGCCATCTTGTGCCAGGATCTTTGCTGAGCACTCTATGTGAGCACACGTTCTGCTCTGAGTCAAGCACCATTCTCAGTGAAAATAGTTTTATCTGTGACAAGTGCCATCAGCACCCAGGAGGTTAAGGCAGGAGCATGAAATCAAGGCCAACTGTCCAGTGCCAATTTCCAGCAAGCCACCTGGGATACATAGTAGTAGGACCCTATCTTATAAAGAACTGAAGTAGAAGGATGCTCATAAAACCCTATGCGGAATCATCCTTATGTTCAGGTGAGAAAAGGAGGGAGTAAAGAACAAGAAAGAGTTCATAGTCTTAATCAGTGTATTGTGTTGCCTAACTGCTTGTAAGACTGAGCAACGTCTTTAAATAGGAAGGCTGACTATGAACTTTGTGGGGTGGTATAAAGCTTGGAGCAGGTAGGCACCCTGGGAACCACGTACTGCAGAAGCAAGAAGACTCATTTCTGCGGGTGATAGTATTTTGTGGGGGTCTTACTTTCTTCTTTTTTTTTTTAATTTTCCAGTGCTGAGGATGTAGCATGGGGCTTGTACACACTGGTTGGATGCTCTGCCACGGACTTATATGCCTGTGGGCAGGAAGTCAGCACCGGGTGTCTCCCTCGATTGTTTTCCCCTTGATTCTTGGAGACAAAGTCTCTTGCGAACCTGGTGCTCACCAATTGGCTATGCGGATTTGCCGATGAGCCCTAGGGATCTGCCTGTCTCCTTATCCCTTGTGCTAGGGCTATAGACACACATCACCACGCGTGGCTTTCGCGTGGGTGCTCGGGATCCGAACCCGGGTCTCCATGCCCGTGTAGCAAGCACTTCTCTCACTGAGCTGTCTTCCCAGACCCCCTGCTTTTTAACAAAGATTTTCTTCCTCCATATGTGGGTGGGAGTCTGGTTAACTCGAGCCTCTTTTCTGTCAGGCCCTCAAGTCTCCAGGGCACATTTCACATGTTTTGTGGAAATATTTTTTTTTTTTTGTCTATTCTCCTGTCTTATGCTTTTCTTTTATGTGTGTGGGAATTTTGTCTGCATGTATGTCTGTGTACCACATGTGTGCCCAGTGCCCTAGGAGACCAGAAGAGGGTGTCAGATCCCCTGGATGGAGCCACAAAAACTTGTAAAGCACCATGTGGGTGCTGGGAATGGAACCTGGGTCCTCTGGAAGAGCAGCCAGTGCTCCCAACCTCTGAGCCAGGCCTGTTTGTCTTTTGAGGCAGCTGAGGATGATCTTGAGCTTCTCATCCTCCTGCCTCTACCTCCTCAGTGGTTTGCACCCCTGTGCTTGCCGTATGTGGTGCTGGGGACGAGTCAACCAGGAAGCTACCTTAACTACTGTTTTCCTTCCTATCCCCTTTCCCTCCAGCATTCTGGCAACTTGAGGCTTTTAAAAACCATAAGATTGTTAGACAAAGACTTAAACTTTTGCCAAAAAAGTTTGCAAATTAAAAAAAGAGGCTTTAAAGTCAAATTTCAGCTTCAGGTGACATTGGTACCATTCTTAACTTCAGGCTCTATTGTCTCCTGTGCTGCCAAGTTCTGAACATCACCCTGGCAGTCTGAAACACACACACATACACACACACACACACACACACACACACACACACACACAATCAATGCAATTCTAAAAAAAGGGATTTTAGAACAAACTAAGAAAATTAGAATTCTTAAGAAATTTTATACATTTTGAAGGTGTAAGAAGAATCTTTTCAGCGCCCCCACCATTATTATGTAGGCATAATAGATGTGTTAATAGTCTTGTACCTTGAATACGTATAATTTTGTGTGCTGACAGTGAGGAAAGACTGTTGCATTTTTTGTCGCTGTGACGTACTTGACAAAGACACCTGAAGGAAGGGCTGTGACTCACAGTTTGAGCACACATGGCCCCCGGGGAGCATGCAGGAAGGAGATGAATGCTGGTATTAGCTCACTTTCTCTCCCAGTTCACTTTGGGACCTGTCCTTGCATGGTGCTGCTAACGTTTAGGGTGGATCTTCTTTCCTCATTTCACTCAGTCTAGAAACCACTTCACAGACGCGCCTGGAGGTTTGTCTCTAAGGTGACCCTGCTAAGTTGACAGTCTGTCAGCCAGCACACGACACTTCCTGATCAACCAGCTGTAAACCCAACATGCGCTCATTTCACATAGTTTCACCTTGACCAGTAAAGAGGCCATGGGGCAGGGCACTCTGTTGTACTGCAGTACAAGTCCTGCTGAATGTAAGTGTATTTATCTGCTGTGACTCAGGGAACTGTGGGCTCTGTTGAAGAGGAGGCCGATGTGCAGTCACATCCTTCGGAGCCTGTGCTGGTTCAGCAGGTCAGAGTTGATTCACATTCACTCACAAGTCTCTTCGATCTGGAGAGGAGAGCCCGTGGGTCAGGTTTCATTGACAGTAGTGGGATTCAGAGTTCCAACAGGAACTGTACTTGTACATTTGGGCCATCTCTGCAACAGTTATTGATGCCACCTTAATACTGTGAGTACCGTTAAAGAAGGTGTTCAGATCTTCTTAGCACAATCATTTTCGTATGTTTATTAACATGTTCCTTTTTAAAAATAGTTATTTATTTTCATATGTACGTATATGTGCCTGAGTGTTTATGTATATAGATCAAATCCCGAGGAACTGGAGTTACGAGTGGATATCACCCACTATGTAAGTGCTGGAACTGAACACAGGTTCCGTTCTCTGCAAGAGCAGCAAGTGCTCTTAACCACAGGGCATCACTCACGCCCCATGTTGCTTTTTAGATAACAGTGTGTTTATTGAGAAACGATGCCTATACTAAGCCTTTTGCCACTGAGCTACATCCCAAGCTCCATTTTTTTTTCTTTAACACAAGACAGGGTTTTATGTATTCCAGGCTGGTCTTGAACTCACTGTGTATCCACAACCATGCTTGGTGCTAATAATAAAACTCAGAGACCTGAGCATCCTAGACAAGACTCTACCAACTGAACTACATCTCCAGCCCGTTATTTTGTGGTTTAAAAACATACTTAAGGGCTGGAGGGATGTCTTAGTGGTCAAGAGCGCTTCCAGAGGACCCAAGTTCACCTCCCAACAGCCACATGAGGGCCAGTAACTGTCTGTAACTCCATTTCCAAGAGATCTAACGCCCCCTCTCGCCTCTGAGGGTTATCATTGCTTGTGGTGTACAGACACACATGCAGGCAAGAACATTTGCCACATAAAATGAAAAAAAAAAGTAAATGAAACATACGTAAGCCAGATATGGGGTGCATACCTTTAATCTTAGTTCCCAGGGAGACAGATGGGCAGATATCTGAATGTTTAGGCCAGCCTGATCTACATAGCAAGTTCTAGGCCAGCTGGACTATATGACAACACCTTATCTCAAACAACAAGAACAAAAGCTCAAATCAGGTTTTATTATAATAATTTGTTCATTAATAATATGTTTGAGGGACTGGAGAGATGGTTCAGTGGTTAAGAGCACTGGCTGTTCCTCTGGAGGACTCAAGTTCAATTCCCAGCATCCAGATGGCAGCTCACAACCCCTCTGTAATTCCAGTCCCAGGGGATCCAATGTCCTCTTTGGTCTCCAGGGCACCAGGCATGCACATGGTGCACAGACATACTTTTAGGCAAAACACCCATGCACAGAAAATAAATTAAAAAAAATATTTGAGGGCTTAGGAGGTGGCTCACCAGTTAAAAGCACTTGGTGCTCTTGGAGAGGACCCTGGTTTTGCTTCAGCACCCACATGGAAGCTAACAACCACAGTACACATGCACACAGACATACATGTAGGCAGAACACTCATACACATAACATACAAATAAATCTTAAAAAACGTGCTTGAGCTGGGTGGTGGTGGTGCACGCCTTTAATCCCAGCACTCAGGAGGCAGAGGCAGGCGGATCTCTGTGAGTTTGAGGCCAGC